TCGTCTTGCGGAAAACCACCATAGGGACAATCGTCCTGTGAGGCACCAAAACCCTCACTGGACCCATTCATCTAGCGAGGCACCACTGTATATTTTCGTGGACTGTAGTGCACATCCAGAAGCTTCTTGTTTCTGAAAATATAGGCTACAACTTCTTAAATTATTTAACTGATCTTAGACAAATAAATTGAATATCTGCAATCTGGACCTGCACTTGGAGCAAATCATCTTGTTAAATCTCGTTTGGATGCACAGAGGAAAGTTGCAGTATATCCACAGTGTGGTTTTGTTTAAAGTTTATTTGGTCAAATTGTTTTGGATCTTGCATTATTTTTCATCCTGTGCAGATCATCTCAGGAACATTCTAGAGCTTTAAACTCCTCCCTTCAGCTAATATACTAGCTTCACCCAAGGGTCACTCCTCAGTTCCTTCTAACTGCCATTCTCACAGAGTTTGGAGAGTATTTTGGAATGTTGTTCATCAGAGAATTTTTCCTGTTTACTTACCTGCTTATCCTTCCTTTACCCTATTTTTCCTGTTCCTCAGTCCTGGGAAAATGTATTATTCATCCACTTTCAATGTGTATCTTGCAGTGTCAAGATACCACTTACAGACAGCCACAATAAGTGTCTGGGAGAGGGTCACCAGCCCCCAAATTGTAAAATTAGTCAAAACTTTACAAAAATTGCCTGTAAAAACAGATCGTTGAAGCTGAAATTCCAACTCTGGGAGCAATCACTTAAGGCTGCTGATACCATATCCTAAGAGCAGGACTCAACATTGACTGGAATCAAAATTGTGTCTAGAATCACCATAAAGAAACCTGTTGTTAAAGGTGATCAGATTTCCCATCAAGACAAATCTAAAGACTCCATACCAGCAAGACTCAATGCCAAGGCATCTGTATCTGTCTTGGAACCACACTTACTACAGAAAAAAATATTAAGAGATGCCACAGCCTTGAATAAATATCTGAAGAAGAGGCAGGACATTTGGGGCATAAAGTTCAAAAGTCACCTAGGACCCACTTTTATACGTATCTCTTCTCCACTACTTCATATAAAATGTTCACCTGACATGGAAAAAGCTACTGTTGAACTGAGTCATCATGCGGAACCAAAAAGACACCAAGCTTCATTATCCCAAACATTTTTGAAGTTCCCAACTACTTGAAGAGGCATAAAACCAGATATTCAAGGTGTGCCTCAATCAAAGGAGACAGAACAATGGTTCTGTCGTACCCATTTTTCATCCCACCATCCCACTACGTCAGTACTTCCCAAACTTTTTCAAGCCATGGTTTCCTTGACTTCAACCAGGAGCCTCCCCAGTGCAAAAAGGGTGCCTGTGCCAGGGCTGCCACTGCACTGCTTCTCCTACTGCACAGGCACAGGTCTAGGGACAGGGTTGCAGCTTGCCCTGGGGTCTGCGCCTGGGCATGGCATTAGGCACGATCCCAGCCACCATGCAAGGAGATCTGCCAGCCAAGGAGAGGGAGAGGGAGGCTGCAGCAAAGGATGAGAGGATGCTATGGTGCACACAGGGGTGCACAGTTTGGGAATCAGTGTACTATGCATATACTGATTAGCAATCTTTGATGCCATATAATGGTGTTCAGTGGACTTGAGAGATGTTTGAGAACCTCATTTGGGAAATGGCACAATCAAGAACTCCCTCAATGATATTGAACTGGAAACCATCAAAACCAAAGGCTTCTATGTTGAGGAAACAGTTGATGTCAAGATCTGAATCACTGAACACTGAAGAGAAGCCAATCCTGATCTTCCACACTTTAAAATTGATCGGTATTAAGATACTAAAACACAGAGAGGCTAAGATTGCCGATGAATCTGACATCAATATACTTTATTCGCGAAGGCTTTCACGGCCGGGATCTAATAATTGTTCTGGGGTTTTCAGGCTCTTTGGCTGTGTTCTGAAGGTTGTTCTTCCTGACGTTTCGCCAGTCTCTGTGGCCGGCATCTTCAGAGGAGAGAGCACAGGTTGCTGTCCTCTGATGATGCGGGCCACAGAGACTGGCGAAACATCAGGAAGAACAACCTTCAGAACATGGCCAAAGAGCCCAAAAAACCCAGATCAACGAATCTGACATCGTTCCAAGAGCCGAAGAAAACTAACAAAACTACCTAAGCATGACTCAGTGAGTTGACAAAAAACAAGTGATGCCTTCCAAATTCTTGAAGTTGAGGAAAGAGCAATCAGATCCTAAGGATGATCAGAGGTCAGAAAAGAAGAACCTGACTTCAAAAATGTCAAAATCCAGCTTGAAAAGTGTTGAACTGATACCTGCTAAATTTAAACAAATAAACATTTGCATGACACAAAAAGAAAAGACAGAGGATTGTGCTGGTCAAGAGTAATCTGATACAGACTCCAGTGATATAAAGGGTGATTGAGAGTTCTCCTCATCTGTATATTTAACCTCTCTTAAATCAGGTACCAGTACTTAATCTCCTTTAGATTATATACGCAGTTTGTTAAATACAGAGTTGCTGTGAAACCACCAGAATAGTGCTGCTTCAGGGCAGTGTGATGGATGGATGGGTAGCAAAATCACTTAAGATTGTAGCTCATTACCTTCAAAACAGATCCAGTTTTGAGGAAAATACAAAAGAACACTGTCCAACTGGTTCATATTCAAGCACTATCTGATCTAATCATAGAGTTCTAGCAAAAGCCATCTTCCTTACCACCGTCATCAAAAAGAATATAAGGTCCAGAAAGAGGGTGCATCTTTTTAATTTAAGCACCCCAACCAAATTCAGTCATTGTCAAAGCTTCTCAAACCAGGTCTAATGGTAAAACTCATTCAAAGGCTATAAATAAGGGAAGTTGGAAGGTGTATTTATTCTACTTCTGTCCATTGATTCACAGGACAATCATAAAAATCAGAACAAGATGACATAGACATCATTCTGTTAACTCCTTGATGACCACAACAGTAATGGTTCCCAATCCTGTTTCTAATGTTGATAGACAGTCTGAGACTGCTTGGTATTGTGGCATGTCAGATAATTTGACATGCTACAATACCCACGTTTGTCACCCAGACATGGAGATATTAAAATTGACAGAGTGAGGAATTCTGCTATGTTAGCAAAGATTTCTGGAGTGTCTATAAAGAAATACACTAGAAAGTGCTATTGGGAGTCCTATAAATGGGGGAAATTTAAGAAATTTGCAAACTATTAATGAGCCATACTTAGCAGAGACTCTACACTACGTGCAATGCTTTTTACTGGACATTAAAAGAGAAAGGTCTTTCACAATATTCTATTAAAGTTTGTTTGTCTGCTGCTGTATTATACAGACTATAGGGTTCTACTTCTTCAAAACCTTTTCAAAGTTCAATAGTTGAAACATTTCTATAAGGTTTGAATAATATTTATCCAACTAGAAAACCTCCAACACTACAGTGGCCCTTGTTAGTGGTTTTGATCCAATTGACAAAAACAACATTTGAACATACAGCTTTAGCTCATTTGTATTTTCTAACCTATATAAGTGCTTGCGAGTTCTTGCGAATTTGTTCGTCAGCTGAATGTTTATGCTGACCTGCCTCCTCCAGTGGGCACCCACTCAGGCAGTGCCCAGAGAAGGCAAGGCAGGGAAGCCATTGCACCCACCAAAGGAGAATGGGCTACAAAGCACGGAACAGTTGTTTGGCTGATAAATGAACTGCGGCACCCACCAAAGGAGAATGGGCTGCAAAGCACTGAACAGTTGTTTGGCTGATAAATGAACTGCAAAACTGGTGAATCAGAGACCACAATATAGAAGGACATGTTATTTGTCTGTAACTGTGGTTCTTCAGTGGCTATCTGTGGATTCCCAAAAACCATCCAGCCAGCCTTCTGTCTCTCATGTTACTTCTGCTTAGATTGTGGCATTGGATAGAGGGAACTGAAGAGTGACAGGTGGAGCTGGCATACTAGCTGAAGGGAGGTGTTTAAATCTTTAGAATGTTCCTGAATGTCCCTGCCTGTTTAAGACAGAGAGGCAACACTTATATGTGAATTCACAGGTAACTAATTGGAGAATCACAGTTAATAGGTACGTAAGTAAGAAGTCCTTTGTCTACTGTCACATATTATTCCAATAGGGACTCAACTCTGATTCTTCAGTAAAGTAAAGGTAAAGGTTCCCCTTGACATGTAGTCCAGCCATGTCCGATTCTAGGGCGCAGTGCTCACATCCCCGTTTCCAAGCCATAGAGCCAGCCTTTGTCTGTAGACAGTTTCTGTAGTCACATGGCCAGCACGACTAGACACGGAACGCCGTTACCTGCCCACCAAGGGGGTACCTATTTATCTACTCGCATTTACATGCTTTCAAACTGCTGGGCTGGCAGGAGCTGGGATGAGCGATGGGAGCTCACTCCGTCATGTGGATTTGATCTTATGACTGCAGCACAGAGGCTTCTGTGGCTTAACCCACAGCACCACCACGTTCCTTTTTTTAATGTTGTGATTTAGTTTTATTTATTTATTTATTTATTTTCAAAACTATTAAGGGATGGGGAAGGAATACAGAAGGTAAGGGGCGATGGAAGGGGTGGAAAAAAGGGGGTTGAGTATAAGAACATCAGAAATATAATCATTCAGTCTTTTCATATTAAATATATAAACCTATAATCTATTCATATTCCAATAAAAGCTCTTCTTCTTCTTCTTTTGACTATTTATCTATGTCTTTACCCCTTTAGCTTTCAACTTACAATTATAACATAGCTTACAAGTTATCCCAATACCATCAGAACACCAAGACCAATTGTGAGATATGTCCCCTCTTTCACACTCCTTTTGTCTTGAAAGTACACTTGACTGGCTTGAAATAGTATAGACTCTGTTCACTTCTCCCCCCCTCTCCATGTGCTTCTTAGCACCACCACATTCCTGATTCTTCAGTAGGAAGTCCATATTTTTGAGTTTTTCTTTATTTTCCCTAAAAAAATTTGTTTTGGTTTCTTTCTCTTTAGATACGAGCAGGAGGATATTGAATTGAAGCATAACTCCACATTAAAGCAGTTAATGAGGGAGTTTAATACCCAGCTGGCACAAAAGGATCAGGAATTGGAAATGGCTGTAAAAGAAACTATCAGTGAGTTGGAACAACATGCCGCATAGATTTTAAATGTCTGTCTCTCTTTTAAATCCAAACATCTGATCTATTTTTTATGGCCAGAGGAAGTTTAGAGGAAGAGCAGCTGTAGATTCAAAGATCAGGTTTTGTGGATGTTTTCTTTAGGGACATGCTAAGAAGCAGTGTAGGAGGTAGCAAGGCTTGATCCCTGCCCCCTGTTCATCCCATGTTTTGAATGCGTATATAGTACTGCATCTCTTCATATATTCTTTCTCTTTTTTGTGTGTAATGGTGCACAGACCCATTCATCTTATCTAAAATATAGGAAACTTGTAGAGCATAGGAATTTTTAGAGAAGCCTTCCTAACCAATACGATATAGGAGAAGAAAAATCTTCCCAAACTGTAGTGCATGTGTGCCCAGGCTTGATCTATTCCTCCTTCCCCAGCAACCCCTGGATGCTACTCATCTAGGTAGCTTCAGTCTGAGGAGTTGGTAGGAGATCCCTGATATAACCTCCACATTGGTTTCCCTTCCCCCTGGTCTGAATAGGCTCCTTAAAAGGACAAAGGACTGGGGCTGAGGGCTAATCCCACTTCTGCAGTCCTTCTCCACCCATTGTCATGAGTCGTTAATGTTCTCTAACAGTGTTCTTTCTGGTTTGTGTGGTCCTGATCTTTCTGTTGACGGATGAAAAGGCAGCATGATAAATAGGAGATAGATTGTATCTAAGGATTCCACCCCTGTTGAGTGAGGGATTTTCTGTATGCACATGTATAGCCTCCCTGAACCTTCTCTCAAGCCACCTATCTTCTCGGTCCAAAATGAGTACATTTAGGTGATCCAATTAGTGTCCTTTGTCCCTCAAATGAAGGAACACTGCTGATTGTGGTCCTGAGCCATTTCCCCTCCTATGCTGGGCCATTCTCCTGTTTGGTTTCTCCAGTGTAGACCTCCTAACACTCTGCACATACTATGCTCCTGTTGTGTTTTGATATCCATCTTTTGGGTGGATGAGTCTTTGCCTTAGTATGTTTGTGGGTTTGAAGTGTACGGATTTGTGGTATTTACCAAAAATCATTTTGAGCTTTTCAGACAGACCTGCCATGTAAAGAATGACCCGGTCCTTCCGTTGGCCCTGGATCTCAGACTGTTCCATTGTCCTCCTGGGTCGGGACACTGCCTTATTAAAGGCTCATTTTGGATATCTACAGGCCTTAAGGGCTGTCTTCAGATATCTGTCTTCCTTCTTCTTGGCTTCTGTGGAGGTGGGGTTGTTTCTTGCTCTGTGGTTTAGTACTCACTCCCCCCAATCCATTGTCCTATCTAACAAGCTATTCAGACCAGGGTCAGGAGTCTCTTACCAACTCTCCTCAGACTGAAGAAGCTACTTGGAGGAGTAGTGAAGTGTTTCAACCTAACAAGAAAGAAGGCCAGTTGCCATCACTCAACTTCCAGATAATCATACCTGGACGATTGAGAATCTTCACAGATACATCTATCCCATATTGTTCAGGAGAGCTCTGGCTCTAAAGTAGAAGTGAGCTTTCAGCAGACTGGTAATAGTTGTAAATAGACATGGGATATTCTCAGGTGACTGCTGTGTAGGGAGGTGGGAGAAGAACTGATTGGGATGCTTCTGCAATTGGCGCGGTGACAAGGATGGCCATACGCACCGTGCAGTGACCTGTAAGTGGACTTGCCAATTCATTGGGCAAAGGGATTAGATTTCCCACAGCACCTGTGGTGCTGATAATCTTATTCGTATCCTATGTCTAGTTGTAAAGTTTTGTGCCTTCAGGTCAGAATTAATTTATAGCAACCCTAATAGGGCTTTCAAGGTAATTAAGATGGGATGTGTAGTAAAGGGGAACAACACATTACAACAGACATCTTTCATCATTTGAGGAAACACCTCTTCTAAAAAACTGTAAAGTATATTAGCCAAAATCCCATTGTTTAACATAGTAAATCACACTCAGGTAGACCCATTGAATCAGTGATGATTTGAGGAGTCAGCTCCCCTGTAAATTCCATTGATTCAAATGGGTCTATTCTAACTGTGACTTACTATAGCATAGTAAGTTACTGTTAGAGTAGACCCATTTTGTTACTTTATCTCTTCAAAGGTTTCTTCTGGCTTACCATCTTTAAACAGGTAAAGCCCAGGAGGTTGAATCTGAATTGATAGAAAGTCACCATGCAGAGATAACTCAGCTACATAAAAATTTTTTAGAGAAAGATGATGATCTACAAAGAACAATAAAAAAGTATGAAGACATACTAGAGGTATGTGTTTCATAGCAATTTTGGGGGGATTTCAAAAGGCAAAATGTAAAATAGAATTTGTACTTTTTCTGCTTTTGTATTTCTATGTATCTGTGAGTTGGGCATGTGGTTGTTTGTTTATTGTTGCATATTTAGACATTAAATGAATCTTCTCTTGCCTAATTTAAGATTATATTCATAATAGAAGACCTAAATTTAAAACAATATTTTTCTTAGCCAGTAATAGGGTGTGCATTTTGTAAATCATCATATTTTGTGTATGTTTTGTAAATCATATTATGGAAACTTTTAAAATTTAAAAATCAGATCATTGTAATTTTTTGCAATAATATCCTTCCTAAAATGAGCAGATTAGAGGGAAGACTGGCTATATTTTAATAAATAAAGAGTAAATAATAGCATCATACCCATTTGTCACTGTGAGTTTTGTTTTGCTTTATCTTATGTAGAATTTAATGTAAGGTAGAAAATTTAATCCAACAACATGCCTTTTGTTCTCTTATGTAGTTGGATAAATGTTTTCATGAAATATTTTCCTAATTCATTTTGGTTTATTTCTCATTCTTTTTATCTTTTTATTTATTTGAAAACAATATTTTTATTAATTGCTATTACTGCTGCTATTATTAATTTTACTGTTGCCTATAGCTAAAATTTACCTGAATATTATTGTAATCTGTCCTGCTTCTAAGTACATATCCACTCTGAACTGAAGCTTCAGAACTGTGTTTCAGAAAACTTTTTGGAAACATTTGAAGGACTCTATTCTTCTGCTTACTATTTCCTATTTCATATAAGCATTAGCTATGAATTATGCAAGTTTGCATTTTGCTGTCTGATGTGACTGCTTCACTGGACAACAATGACAACATTTTTCTACACTTGATATACTCTGTTCTTGGGTGATCTAGCTCAATTACCTTAGGTAAATCAGGTATTCTTGAACTGCAGTTCCCAGAAGCCTGCACCACCAGCTGTGATGACTGGGGTTTCTGAGAGCTACAGCCCAAAAAATAACTGGGGTAACCAAAGCTGCACCCCATCTGGATAATTACTATATAGGTATTTAATGCCTATGTTCCATAAAAGAGGATAGTTTTACTTAACAGTTTTTATAATGCTGCTGTTTTTCATTTTTAAAACCTGTAATTAGAACTGGTTCTATGACTTGAATACTAGTATTTTTATGGTGATTCACAGTAGAGTAAGATAACAGAATAGCATTATCTGAGTTTACTTGTGCTTTTCCTGCATTAAGTAGTTCTCTGCAGAGATGCATTTTTGTCTTAGTATTTAAATAGTTGGACATTAAAGTGTGTGATGCAGGTATCTTTAAAAAACTTTTGGAGCTGATAGGAGCCAAATTGTAGACAATTTTGCATTTTTGTCTTGGTATTTATTTTATTTATTTATTTATTTATTTGATTTTTACCCCGCCCCTCTAGACCATGTCTAGTTGGACATTAAAGTGTGTGATGCAGGTATCTTTAAAAAACTTTTGGAGCTGATAGGAGCCAAATTGTAGACAATTTTGCCATGTAAGCTTAACAGAGCTAATTTTTAAAATTTTGTTCTGAAGGCTCGAGAAGAAGAAATGACGGGGAGAGTAAATGAACTGGAAATACAGTTGGAAAAATTACAAGAGGAATATAAACAAAGATTGGCAGATGAAGAAAGTTGGAACAGTAGTGAAGTAAGTTAAAAAGCATGATTTTACATATCTTAAGTTCAATATTCTGTGAGATCTGTAGTATTTTTAACCTTTTGCTCAAAAAAATTGGCAATATGGTTTTTGTTGTTTTTACACCTATGAAAGGGCTTCAGTTCTGATCCTCAGCTGCAAAGTTGGTGAATTTTAGAAAGTGAACTAGTCTCAGTTCTGGTTTTATATCAACAGCAATTGGGTTGGGAGAAAAAAGTAGGTAGCTTTACCGTAGGATTCTTTGGTGTCAAGAATATTTTCAGAACCTTTGTCAATGAATACTGAAAAGACAAGGCCAATAGATGCCCTACACAGAAATAGTGTGTAAGACATCTTTGACAGGTTCTGAGTAAGTCAGTCAAATGAGCAATCAAAGAGTATCAGGGATGCCTCAACATAGCAAAATTGGCACCAGTGCCCCCTGGAGGGCACAAAGGGACAAACTCACAGATTAAAAACAAAAAACAATTGGGAGAGTGTTGCAGGTGCTTCTTCTGGCCTCCTGAAACCTTCAAGGTCACACATTGCACACCGCAGTGAATTCCTTATTAATTTAAGTGGAGTGCAAATGCATACAAATCGAGGTTTGAAATCACTGAACTACAGCATCCAAGTCGGAACAGGTCTGAGCAATTTTGGTTGCAATGTGTTATGCAAATTCTTCACAGCAGACTACAGTCTAGTCTCCATTCTCTTCCTTTGGACTGTGATGTAATAGCCCCATGATCACTTGAAAGAACTCCACCGGACAACTCTGTGCAGACCCGACGGTGACAGAAAAGAATGACCTTTTTGTTGCTGCTATTGCCATGGAATAAGCCTTCCAATGGGCCGTAGCCTACATTTTGTCAGATTCACTCCACATTTTACACCATTATCACACAAGTCTATGTCTCACTCATTTCATCACCAGTAGCTCTCTGGTAAAACAGGTGGACAGTTTGGCTCTACTTTCTGGGGAGGAGACATTTAAAAACAATCCTCTCAATGGCTTTTGCCATTTCCCTATTCCAGAGATTTATTTATTTATATTTATTTATTAGGTTTATATACTGCACATCTAGAACGTGTCTACTCTTGGAGATCAGCTAAAGCTTCAACACTGTCACCTGCTAAGATGATTTTGTTGTTGTTTTTTGGTCGTTAAGTCATGTCCGACTCTTCGTGATCCCATGGACCAGAGCACACCAGGCCCTCCTGTCTTCCACTGTCTCCCAGAGTTTAGTCAAGTTCATGTTTGTAGCTGCGATGACACTGTCCGACCTTCTCCTCTTGCCTTCACACTTTCCCAACATCAGGGTCTTTTCCAGGGAGTCTTCTCTTCTCATGAGATGGCCAAAGTATTGGGACCTCAGCTTCAGGATCTGTCCTTCCAGTGACCACTCACGGTTGATTTCTTTCAAAATGGATAGGTTTGTTCTCTTTGCAATCCAGGGGACTCTCAAGCGTCTCCTCCAGCACCACAATTCAAAAGCCTCAATTCTTCGGCAGTCAGCCTTCTTTATGGTCCAGCTCTCACTTCCATACATCGCTACTGGAAAAACCATAGTTTTGACTATACGGACCTTTGTCGGCAAGGTGATGTCTCTGCTGTTTAAGATGCTGTCTAGGTTTGTTATCGCTTTCTTCCCAAGAAGCAAGCGTCTTTTAATTTTGTGGGTGCTGTCACCATCTGCAGTGATCATGGAGCCCAAGAAAGTAAAATATGTCACTGCCTCCATATCTTCCCCTGCTATTTGCCTGGAGGTGATAGGACCAGTGGCCATGATCTTAGTTTTTTTGATGTTGAGCTTCAGACCATTTTTTGCTTTCTCCTCTTTCCCCCTCATTATGAGGTTCTTTAATTCCACCTCACTTTCTGCCATCAGAGTGGTATCATCTGCATATCTGAGGTTGTTGATATTTCTTCCGATAATCTTAATTCCGGTTTGGGATTCATCCAGTCTGGCTTTTCGCATGATGTTTTCTGCATATAACTTAAATAAGCAGGGAGACAATCTGCAGCCTTGCCATACTCCTTTCCCAATTTTGAACCAATCAGTTGTTCCATATCCAGTTCTAACTGTTGCTTCCTGTTCTACATATAGATTTCTCAGGAGATAAATAGGATGGTCTGGCACTCCCATTTCTTTAAGAACTTGTCGTAGTTTGCTGTGGTCCACATAGTCAAAGGCTTTTGCGTAGTCAATGAAGCAGAAGTAGATGTTTTCCTGGAACTCTCTGGCTTTCTCCATAATCCAGCGCATGTTAGCAATTTGGTCTCTAGTTCCTCTGCCCCTTCGAAATCCAGCTTGTACTTCTGGGAGTTTTTGGTCCTCATAGTGCTGAAGCATACCTTGGAGGATTTTGAGCTTAACCTTGTTAGCATGTGAAATGAGTGCAATTGTACGGTGATAGGAAGCCATTTGGATCTATCAGCCTTCTGGGGCAGACCATATTAGTCTGTCCTCCACCACTGCAGGCTCTGAGTTCCAGTGAGTCCAAACCCTCACCCCCATGACAATGGAACTACAAGTTCTTCCACAGCCAGGTCATTAGCATCTTCTCCAGTATAGAAAAACAGGTTTAAAGTTTGCCCTGCAGCATGGGTGGAGGGAGATACCATTTGGGATTAACCCATGGGTGTCATGAAGGTCATAAAGTCCTGAGTCACTCCTGACAGAGATGCCTCAGCATGGACATCCCCAAGCACAAGCCAAGGGGACTCTGACACCACCCCCAGTACCATCTCAGTTAGTTGAGGAAGGGAGGCTGTGGAGCTACAGGGTGGACAGGACAGTAACAGAATCCCTATTTTGTCCCAGGATCCTGCTTTCAGAAACACACATTCAAACCCAGGTGTTGTGGGGAATTTAATTTGATTCTGTACTTTGTTATCTGTTACTTCATTATCTTTGTAATTTAATGTATGTGGACATGTTTTTACTGAACTGCCATGACATATTCAAGTAGTAGCAAGCAAACATTGGCAGAATTCTGTGTTTCTTGTCTGTGACAGAAGAGATGTTTGCATAGCCTGCCTTTATTAAGCAACTGTTAACTACTGCCTTCCAAGTGTCAACAGCTGATTGGTGGGTTCCATCTGAGGTGGGATTATAAAAGGTTCTGTAGCTGTTTTATGGGCTGTACTTCCTTGTAAGTGGTAGTACCTGTTTACATGTAAATAAATTGTCTTTTACCTCAATTACTGGGGCTTTGTTTTGGTTCCTTCAGTTCCCTCACAAATGAACAAACCTCAGGTTTCTTCCCCCAACCCCCATTTCACTGGGGAACTGGAGAATGTGACATCTGGTGAGAGGGATGGAATTTCAATAGACCACACTGCAAGTCCACCTCCCTTCCCCCTTGGTTTTGCCTGCAGCTGCACCGAGAACCCTGGTGGAGAAAACTGAGATTAAATCCCGCACCCAACCATGCAAGAGCTCTTCTGAAATATATTTGGAAAGGGTGGCGCCACATCAGTTCAAGGGGCTTCAGCTGTTTTCAGTTCCTCTCCTCAGCAACACCCCCCCCCCCCCCGTTTCTCATCTCAAAGGCTCTTTCTTCCTTTTCCCCATAGCATCCGTGTTTCTTTCAGGGCTCTTAATATATAGGGATAGAGCAAAAAAATTGAATAAATACAATACAAACCAATACTTTGGAGGTTTTGTTTTTGAATTATTTGTTTATAGCACTTAGATTTGATTCTGCTAAGTGTCCAATTTGTGTTTTGGGAATGGCAGAGCTGTTGTGGTAATGAACATTAATCAGAACTTTTTATATGATGAAAAATGTACCTTTTTTAGCAGATAATACTGAACAGTAATGTCACAAGTGTCATTTTACAAAAAAGTATGATACACAGAAATAGAAAGCTGGTATTAGGTTTAACAGCAGCATGTTGGTTAAAATTATTGTATAATGCTCCCTGTTGTCTTAAGGAACAAATAAATGACATTCTGTTAAATGTTTATATGTTCTTTGTTCTAGGCAACTGTAGCAGAACTTCAGGTAAGATTTCCTTTGTGAATTCCTTTATGCTGTTTACACTAGTACAATGATACTAATCATTCTTCTGCTTAAAATGTTGATCATTTCTTACAAGGTAAGTAATTTCAGTGCACATTCTTATTTGTGCATTATACTATAATGTATGTGTGTTGTGTTGTGCTGTATTTCAGGCACAGCTAGCCCAGAAGACAACACTTCTCAATGATTCAAAGTTGAAAGAACAGGAATTTAGGGAACAGGTAAGGAATTAATTTTTAAAAAATAGGTTGCGATCTTCTACATAAGCTATCAGGAACTCTAACATATTCTAGGGATAACTTGAAATGACTGTAAGAGGTTACTTAAAAATGCCCCCATCCTACCTTTAACTTTTAAAGGGGGCTGTCTTAAAACTTAGAAATCAGATATAGCTTGCAAAACCAAGTTCAAACAATAATTTTTATGCTGTTTCAAACTCACTTCATTACTGTGGCTAAAAAAACAGTGAACTTTCTACTGTGAAGGAAAAGGAAATTCCCATATTTTCAGAAAGCATGACATTTTAACTGATTTTAGGACTGTTATATTCATTATATAGCTTGTTTCTGTTCTCTATTTTGCTTATTTCTGGTTTGTCCCTATGAGGATGCAGTAGATGCAGGCCTTTATTGCTTATTCTTACAAATTAAGAGGGAAGTTCGGTCTCTTTCTTTATATTGAGCTTTTGCAGCCTTTGAAATCAACAGAGAAGCCTTGTGGGAAGGGAAGGTTTGTTTATTTGTGACCATATTTTTATTTTTCCCTTTCTTCCAAAGAATCCACACAAGTGTCCTTTGAGGTAGATTAGGGTTAGCGACACTGTGTAAAGTTAATTTGGTAAGATTTATGGGAAGATTTGAATAAACCTTTGGTCTGAGTAAACCTATAACTACTGTATATAATCAGTTCTTAATGTGGGTCTTAATGAGTCTTTATGAATCAGAAAGTTTCTTAGATCAAGAACAATATAGGTTTTTTAAATTTTGTTTCATTGTGGGAAGCTCATTTGGTGCCTAGTCTTCAGTTACAATTTTAAACTTAATTTAATGGGAACAATACTTCCATCTTTTCCAACACAATCTAGCATATCTAATGCACATTAATCACTATTACAGTGATATGTTTAGATGAAATTGATGCTGAATTCTTTGATGCTGTAGTTGTGATGTGGTGATGGTGGGATGTAGTTGAGCAGCTTTTAAAATGTTTCTTCCACTTAACTGACAACAGTACTGAATCACACACCCCAAAGACATTTCAGTTATGTTTGTTTCATCCTCATCATCCATCACTTTATTTTTAGATTCATGCACTACAAGACCGGTTGAAAAACTATGAGAAGAGCATGTATGTCACAACAGTTGAATCTCCTCATAGAGGTGAGGAATGTTTGTCTTAACAGTGGGGTACAGTATAAAGCTTAAAAAAGAACTTGTAAGCCTAATTAAGGCTACAGTCTTGTGCACAGTTACTTAAGAATAGACCCCAGTGTACTCCATGGTAAGGTTGCAAACATACTTAAGATAATTTATAGGTAAAAAGAACTTGTAAGCCTAATTGAGGCTACAGTCTTATGCACAGTTACTTAAGAATAGACCCCAGTGTACTCCATGGTAAGGTTGCAAACATACTTAAGGTAATTTATAGGAACAAAATTAACTTCATTTTTTAATTTGTGGTTGTGCTTCAGAAATATAACAACATATTAACACCTGATAATAGTGTTACCTAGCTAGTCTGATCTATTTTGAAGAACTGCATTATGACACCTTCCGTATTTATGACCCTTTTTGTACATGTGATCCTTGAATATACAGTGGTGCCTCGCACAACGGGTGCCTCACACAACGATGAATTCACACAACGATGCCTTTTTCTGTTATATTTGCCGCCTCACACAGCGATGTTTCCTATGGGGGATTTTCACACAACGATCTCCCTTTTCGCTCCTGTAAAAGTGTCTTACAATGTTTGGAAGCCATTTTAAATGCTTGCAATGGTTAGCCCACCTCCTGAAACCTGTGCAAACTGATTTTGGTGTTGTTCTGACACTTCGTTAATTTATGATGATTTTTTTGAATTTTCTCCATTGGAAACCATTGGATGGTCTGTCTAATGGTTTCCAATGGAGAAAACAAAAAATCATCATAAATTAACGAAGTGTCAGAACAACACCAAAATCAGTTTGCATAGGTTTCAGGAGGTGGGCTAACCATTGCAATCATTTAAAACAGCTTCCAAACATTGTAAGACACTTTTACAGGAGCGAAAAAGGACTTCGCAAAGGCATTGAAATGTATTGAGTCGGCTTCAATACATTCCAATGAAGGAAACATTGTTTCACACAGCGATGTTTCCTATGGGGATTTTCGCTCAGCGATGGCAATCTGTTCCAATTGGAACGGATTAACTGGTTTTCAATGCATTCCTATGGGAAATGGTGTTTCATAGAACGATGTTTCACACAACGTTGATTTTTTTGGAACCAATTAACATCGTTGTGTGAGGCACCACTGTATATTTTCTCTGAAAGCTCCCCTAAAAGTTTGTATATATGAGTTTGGTAATATTATAGCAAAATGTAACTCTTTCTGCTGTTTACAAAACTCTTTTCATGTGTGGAGTGGTAAGTGAAAATTGTTACCATGAACTGAGATTTATTTATGGATCTTTTCTGAGATCTCTTTTAAAAAATTGGTAGGAATTTGTATTTGGATTCAGAAATAGAATTCACTGAATAACGCCATATGCAAATAGTTCTGAATAGAATCCAAATCTGATAGTTAGGAATATCTGTAATAATAATTTCTAATATTTAGAGTCCCATTTATTCCTGTAGATTAGAAAGCAAAAGGCTAGGTTTCTGCTTGCTAGAGTAAGCAGTGAAAGGGAAATCTTCTCTTTCCCAGGATTATTTGTCATCTAAGGGAGCTGGGAAACCATGACATCTGAGCGTTAAGCCTGGAGGTAGGTGGTGCATCATGGCCTCTCGCATTTTGAAGAGACACTTGTCCAGTAGGCCAAGGCAAAGAGGCAGTCCTGAAACCAGCAAAATCAGGAAGATGGACAGGGGACAGATTGTATTTGTCTCCAGTGTGGAAGGGATTGTCACAGACTGAAAGATGCCTATCCAAGGGAGCTGATAGCCCTAGTTGACCAGCCATTCTCTCTGTTGGATAGCACTGGTTTCCATAGGTTTGTGGCAGAAATGGCACCCCCTTACCAATTGCCACACAGGTGATGGCAGATTTCTATTGGGGTATTGGAGGACTGCTACAGCAGCTGTTGGCTAGGACACAGGTAGTACAGCCAAGATACAAAACATGCCTTTCTCTCCCTGACAGGACACTAGTGAGAGATGGAGGTGTCAGGCTTAGGGCAACACACAAGTCGGGATACCATTCGGCTCTGTTGAATCTTGCTGTGATGGAGGTCACAAAATTGAAGGCACTCTGAAGGATATGCTGTGGCAGTGGAATCTACAGTCATGTGAAAAACTAAGTGCACCTTTGAATTCTATGGTTTTACATTTCAGGACATAATAAAATCATCTGGTCCTCAGCAGGTCTGAAAATTTTGTACATACAACCTCAGATGAACACCAGCACATGACATATTTGACCGTGCTGTGATTGATTTAACAGAAATAAAGCCAAAATGGAGAACTCATGGGTGAAAAACTATGTGTAGCCTTAGTGCTTCCATAGGAATTAAGAGGCTAAGTAGCAGCCTGGTACTGCTAACCAAATGCCCTCGAGTAATTGATCACCAGTAAGTGTAACCACATTCATAAAAGCTACAATTTTAGCATTTGGCTGGTCTGGAGCATTCGGGTGTGTGTTAACACAATGTTAAGGAAGAAACACATCAGCAACATAGAAAAGCAATTGTTACTGCCCATCAATTGGCAAAGGGTTATAGGGCCATTTTCAAACAATTTGAAGTCTGTCATTCTACAGTAAGGAAGATAATTCACAAGTAGAAAGCATTCAAGACAGTTTGCAATATTCTCAAGTGTGGATGCCCAAGCAAATTCATCACAAGGTCAGACTGTGCAATGCTCAGAGAAGTTGCAAAAAACCCATTAAAAGTTATATCTCAGACTCTACAGGCCTCGGTTAGAATGGAAAACATTAAAGTTCATGACAATACAATTAGAAAAAGACTGACCAAGTATGGTTTGTTTGGAAGGGTTACCTGGAAAAAGCCTCTTCTCTCTAAAAAGAACATGGCAGTGTGGCTGTTTTGCCAGTTTGCATCTGAAGAAGCCACAAGACTTCTGGAACAATGTATTTTGTATAGACGAGGCCAAAGTGCAGATGCTTGGCCATAATGCACAGCACCACGTTTGACCAAAACCAAACACAGCATAACAGCATAAACACCTCATATCAACTGTCAAGCACAGTGGTGGAGGGGTGATGATTTGGGCTTATTTTGCAGCCCCAGGACCTGGGCACCTTGCAGTCATTGAGTCAAACACGAACTCCTCTGTATACCAAAGTATTTTAGAGTCAAAAGGGAGGCCATTTGTCCAACAGCTAAAGATTAAAGATTATTTTAGGTTATTGCTGCTAAAGGTGTTCTACAGGTTGTTTCATCATAAGGTGTACTTAGTTTTCCACACATGGCTTCTCCAGTTTCCCTTTATTTTTGTAAAATAAATCATGATATGATGTAACATGTCATGTGTTGTTCATATGAGGTTGTATTTACCTAATTTGTGGACCTTCTAAGGACCAGATGATTTTTATTATGTCCTGATATGTAAAACCATAGAATTCAAACAGGGTGTACTTACTTTTTCACATGACTGTAGCTACTGAAAGACAAGGCCTGTTTATCATAGACAGTTGGGCAAAAATGGGGACAGCACTGCAGGCTGAGAAGAGGAAAGGGGTATATAGTTCACACAACCTAGTAGTTCAGAGTGCTTTGCAGAGTATGGAAGACACATGCATCCCTAATATAACAGTGGACCATAAAGATAGGAGGGCATTTTCAACACTGTGTCCATGGCAGAGAACTGTTGCAGCAGAGGCAAGAAAAATTGAGATTGCCACTGCACTATCTAATCCAGGATGTGGCAACTTGAAGGAATTTCAATTGCTGCCTGCTTAAAACAGTGATGGGGCCACAAAGGGCATTTGGCTGCTCCTCTGGGCAGTCTAGGTCAGGGGTCTCCAAACTTTTAACTGTGAGGGCCATATATATTTTCAAATTTTTCATGCACGCTTGTGTACAGTCCCACACACATGCTTGGCCTGATGAAAGGCAAGGTGGGCTGGATGTGGCCCATGGACTGTAGTTTGGAGATCCCTGGTCTAGGTGGATGAATGGGGAGTTTCATAAAGGGAGAACAGCATTTTTCTATGCTTCAGTCTGCTGCTCCTGATTCTGCCTCTTTCATTCTTCCAACTGCTACTCCAAGATTTTTCTCCCTCACTCAAAACCCA